CTGTGGAATGAAGGTCCTTGGTGACAGGCGCTCTGTGGCCTCCGACCATCCAACATCCAGGCAGACACGCTGTGGAATGAAGGTCCTCAATGACAGGCACTCTGTGGCCTCTGTCTCGTCCTACCCTTCAGAGCGCCCGACCTTGCCCCTGTGGTAGAAGCTCGCGCATCCAGCGGCCAGCCCTTCCCTTGCTTTCTGGGAGAAACACCGTGACTTGTAGAAATGACCACAATATTTTTTTAAATGAAGTTATGCAAATCTGATAGACTGAAGTAAATGTTTCATAAAACCAATGACTGTTTAAATTGTAGGACTAAATTGTTTGTATATAAATATTACCTTTTATATTCCATTTGAGTTTTATGTAGATGAGCACATTACTTTAATGACCTGCATTTGCGGAGGGAGAGAGGGAGAGCGGCTCCCCGAAACCCCCACCAGCCAGATGGCTGCCTTTTCTTGCATGAGATTAAAAGATGTTTCTCATTCACGGAGATGCTTCTGAGGCAAATTAATATCGCTGGCTAAATTGCTTGTGTTTTTGGAATAAAATTTAAAGAGAACTTTTTAAAGCAATTGGTGTCACAGGTTCTCAGAGAAGATTACTCTCCAGGTAGATTCAGTAATTAATGGAAAGAATTCTGTGTTAATTGACTGCTTCGGGAAGGGAAATGTAATGACTCCTTATTAATCATGAAAAGAGACGCTGCATGCGGGGACGGCAGTAATTGCTCTAACAGTGGAGAAATGTTAATTAATGAAAAGAACAATGATGTAAGAAATTAGCTGCATAACACTTGCTGCTGAAGGAGGTAGGATTTTCAGCACATTATTTAGAGTGGAAACCACAGAATGTTGCCTTGAAAAACACACACTCTTGCCACCCAAATTTAAGGGGAAAACCTGTCAATGCTCTCGGCATTTTTGCTTGAGGAAGCAAAAACATTCACCCCAGAGCTATATTTATTTCAAACAAAATGGCCTTGTTGTTCATCTCCAATCCGGGCTTCTGAAACCAAAATCATCCCCAGACCAAAACGAGGTCATTTATTAATGTAATTTCAACACATTAGGTCATTTTGACTGCTAAGGACAAAGGGAGTACAAAGTATTTTTCCCTAAACTAAAACAAATTCCATTTATAACGTTTCCCAGCTAATATAAAGAAAAATTCAGATTCACGTTCGGGACAGAGTATCTTTTTTAAAAAATCTAATTGTAAGTCCCAGAGAGAACCTAACAGCTTCCACTCTAACGACTCATTTTCAGAAAAGGGAGCAGCATTTGTTAGCACACAGGGGCCCGCGGAGCCCAGTCCCAGGCAACAGTGTCCCCAGAGCCCCCGTGATGGCTGGGTTGAGTCTGGGGCACTCCCAGCGAGCCCCCCCAGGTCTGCACGATGGAGAAAGTGACAGGCCCTCAGGACCAGGCCGCAGAGGGGCGGAGAGGACCGGGCTCCCTGGGCTCCCGGGTGGGGCCCCGCTGACCGCTGGCTCTCCCCACAGGTGGAACGTCCTGGGGCTGCAGGGCGCGCTCCTGTCCCACTTCGTGGAGCCCGTGTACCTGCAGAGCATCGTGGTGGGCAGCCTGCACCACACGGGCCACCTCGCACGCGTCATGAGCCACCGCATGGAGGGTGTCGGCCAGCTGCCCGCCTCCTACCGGCACAACCGGCCTCTCCTCAGCGGTAAGAACCCCCATCCCGGGGCCCTCTGCCTCCTTCCCATCACCAGCCAGACGCAGCTGTGCCCGGCGGTGCCATCCCCGGCAGACTGCACCCATGTTGGCTAGTGGCAATGTATGATTTCATAGGCAAAGTCCTACGATTTTAAAAAGGAAAACTGATGAGAGGGTTCAGCGTCTCTCTGCATACAGCAACAGGCCAGGTCTTGACGTGAATTCACGACTGTGTGACGATGCTGTTTTCAGAATGGGTCGTGGTGCTCTTTTCACAGCGGTGTCTAAAGGAGCCCTGAAAACAGAATCGCTAGTGCTGGGCTCACCCGAGAGGCCTCACCTGCCCGCCCACAGGAGGCGATGCTGAGGAAGAGCCAGGTGGACGAGGAGGGGCAGGGAGAGGGGGCACGAGGCCCACACGGCGGAGCGGGTCTTCGGGACCCAGGGCCCCGGGCCCTCCGCACCCTTCAGAGGCCGCAAGGTGACTCCGCAAGCACTGGGCCAGCTCCGCACCAGGGTTCCCCACAGCCCAGATGTCCTCAGAGACCCGAGGCTCCCGGAGCCTCCACTTCCCCGCGTTACCTGGGGCCTGCCCGGGCCGCCTGGCACACAGCCAGTTGCAAGGATGAAGAGTCCCTTGGCAGCTGTGAGGTGCCCTAGAAAGACCGGGGAGTGGTCTTGGGAGGGTTTTGTGAAGGACACACTGACCGGAGGCGACTCCCTGCCTTTCACGGGAACGACAGGAAGCGGGGGGAGGGTTCCCCAATCGCTGCCAGCCTCGTGCTGGGCTTGCAGAACACCAGGTCTTTGAGGCAGCCTCCCTTGCTGGAGTGGGAGAGCTCTCTGAAGGGCCTCGCTGTGGCAGAATCAGGCAGATATGTGGGGGAAACAGAGAAAACCTGTGCCCCAGCAAGGAGCGCGACACCACGGGCTTGGCAGGGTTAGGTCTTAAACCAAATCACCGGAAAGAGAAAGCAGGACGATAAAAGGGTGGTGTCCTGCTGCAGCTGAGAGTCACTGGACCTAGGATTTCTTCCCAGGACTCTAAACCTGCTCAAATGATAAGATCGGGGTTAAACAGGGATTCGTGGAGGCAGGAGTGGGAGCTTTTTTGGGAATAAATAATTTGTGAAAAGCACCTAACTGTGCTGCTCGATTTTCACACCAGCTAATGACAAAGGTTATTATCTCTGTCTTTTTATTTTTTTATTGAGACAGGGTCTCTCTCTGTCGCCCAGGCTGGAGCGCAGTGGTGCTATCTCAGTTCACTGTAACCTCCGCCTCCCAGATTCAAACAATCCGTGTGCCTCAGGTTCCTGAGTAGCTGGGGCCACAGGCGTGCACCATCACACCCGGCTAAATTTTGTATTTTTGGTAGAAATGGGGTTTTACCATGTTGGCCAGGCTGGTCTTGAACTCCTGGGCTCAAGTGATCCACCCGTCTCAGCCTCTCAAAGTGTTGGGATTATAGGCGTGAGCCACGGTGCCCGGCCCCTCTGTTGTCTTAATGTGGGATGGGAAGAGACTCAGAAATTCAACACCTCGCCCAAACCCCTCATCAGTAGGGAGCAAGGACTTGAACTCAGATCCGATTGGCGGTAAACCCCGGTTCCTTCAGCGTGCCACTCTGCATTCTGGGCAGTGTGGTGCGGTTTCTTAGGGCAGTTGTCCGTGTTTCTAATCACACAGAAACTAACAATGCGAGACAGGCCTCGCAGCAAGAGGCCGCAGCTAAGGGAGGGGTGGCCACTGCTCCCACGTCGTTGCCAAGACACCCACTGACTGCCGTCTCCCAGCAGGCGAGGGCCTAAAGGTGCGCCTCCAAGTCACAGCCCATACAACTCTATGCGTTGTGGAAATGGCCAATCACTGCAGTGAGTCTGGACCCAGTCTCAACCTCTTTCTTGCTTTCCTGTTTCCTGTGGTTCTTTCCCCTATTTTTCCTTAAAACAGTGACGACTACTTACTCACTGTGGTTGAACAGAAAAAACTGCTCTGGAGTGGGCCCCAAAAAGCCCTGGAATCACCGGTTTGGAACTCAAAGCAAGTGTTCCCGCGCTGGGGGCCCGCAAGGCCTCGGTGCAGTTCTTAGATTTCAGAGTTAAACCTGAGAGGATTTTCACCTGTTTGACGAGTGGCCCCTGTGATCTTTTTCTGTGCGTTTTCCTTAGACCATCCTCGTTCTGTGTCCAGTGCCTAGTGAAGGGCTTATTTAAGTTTGCGCAGCACAAGGAAATACAGACGACAAATGCAACCGTGTCCTCCCCAAGTCACCATTAACGGAGCAGGTTTTGCCTCCCTGGGCACTGGCGTGTCACCCTCGGCAGCCAGTCTCCCAGTGCTGATTTTCAATCATGTGTCCATCTGGGAACATGTCAACATAAATAAAAACAGGAATTTTGAATCCTAAGTGTGAACACAGTGAATTTTAGAAAACGCAATTAGAGAAATTCAGATCCACCTAACATCATTGAGCGGCACAGATAATGGCCAAGCCCGAGAGACACCTGTCTGCTTCCGAGCCCAGGTGGCACCTGCCTACTCCTGATCCCAGGTGGCACCTGCCACACCACAGCCAGTGCAGCCTAAATATTTCAGCCTCCATTTACATGCTTATTGGGAATCTGGTTTTTATTATTTTGGAGATGCAAATGAGCCTAAATGTTGGTATCTCGCCTGCACGCAACCCCTAAGCTGTCCCTGCATTGTTCTTGATGGACATTTAAAAACCAATCATGCAAATTTTGAAAGGAAATCATCAGAATTTCTTGCACCAAAAGAGAAAGAGATCTTGCATAGGGATAATAATAAAAAGCCCCCTCAAATAAGCAAATGAAGTTTTCTTGAAGCTTCCCTCAAGGTCAGTTTGCAGAATTGCCTTAGAAGATGAAGCTTATGTATTAGCAGAATGAGGCCGGGCAATTTAGATATGGCTAAATCAGCTCTGAGTTAAAAAGAAGCAGCCAAGCTGAAAAAGATACCCTTACTCACACAGTCACAGGATGCATATTAACGTTCTTGAAGGATATACTTGAAAAATTCTGCACTTACCAGTCTAAACCTACGGCAAAACTCCAGGACCAGAAGCCCATTTCGAGGCTGTCTCAAACCCTGGATCCTTCAGCAAAAGTTGCATTATTTCCTGAGTACAGATAGCCTAAAGGAGTTTGCCCTTGGTCCTTCTCAGTGAATTCAGTAAGATGAACAAAATGATGGGGACAGTAATTAATAAAAATCTATGCTTTGATTAATCATCCTTTTAGGAAAAAGTGAGATGAAAGAGCCACTTTGACAGCCTGTTCCACCAAGCTGAGGACATATGCTTCTCCGAGCTTTCAACATCAAGGCTAAATTTTCATTTCTCTTCATCAAGGAAAAAAACAAAAAACAAAGGGGAAAAAATCAGGGTAGGATAAATTCGTTGTTTGTGTTAATGGCATATTTAACAGATATGTTGTCAATGATTAATTTCTTAGTCCACACTGAAGATAAAACTGTGATTATTTTTATAGCCCACCTCAAGGTCTTGGCAATGAACATGAAATCTGAGAGATGGACCCAGAGAATTGATTAGAACCGTGACTTGTTTAAGACTCCTGGTTTATGTTCGTTTGATGAACATTGCGGTGCTGGTGATAAAATAAAGGAGAACACGGGCTGTCTTCCTTCACAGCACGCACATTCCGGGAGTCGTGAAAATGGCCAGCTGGAGCGTCCGAAGCCCTTTCAGGTGTCCATGTTTCACAGTAACCCCATTTGTCAGAAAGAAGTTTGATACTTACTGAAATGTGTACCAATACTAGCTTAGGAATTTTGCCCAATGCTACCTATTTTTGGCATTCAAAGTATCTCTCTGTTGCCATTTATGTCCATATTTTTTTATGAGTCCAGATTTTCAAAATGTTATCACACTGAGTTGAAGAAACTTCTATGGAGTATCAGGCCTCTTTAATTCAGGAGAAATTTCTGAAATTAATGATCATTAAGAGTATTTTGCAAAATAACATATTAGCGAAGCAGTAGCAAATATTTTCTTGTATCCAGATGGTAAGTGATTTGCATATTATTTTTACATTAAAACAGAGGTCTATTATGGAGTAACCTACAAAATTTTTGCAAATGTTTAGTCATAAACACATAAGCTTTACAAAAATATTTTAGCAGCCTGCTGTATCTTACAGTCACTGGAGCTAGGAATTTATCCTCCTGTGCCCTTGCAGGAATTTTTGGTGGAAAAAAAGTATAAATCTTGCTAGAATAATCTAAAAGCAGTCTTAGCTAAGTGCAGTGGCTCATGCCTATGATCCCAGCACTTTGGAAGGCTGAGGTGGGAGGATCACTTGAGGCCAGGAGTTTGAGACCAGCCTGGCCAACATAGCCAGACTCCATGTCTACAAAAAATAAAATAAAATAAAAACAATCCTAATATCTTTTCATGAGAACTAAAAAAGTTAGATTCAACAAAGAACTATTTAATGAGACATTTTTATAGATTAGCACAGAACCTTCTAGGCAAATTAGATGGCATATAGCTTATGATAAATTTAAAATTATTGAAAAACCTTGTTTTCATTTTCTGGAGAATCCTTTTAAAACTATTTTGTATAATAATTAATTTTCATTTAGTTTCCACCACGATCTTAAGGAATTGTTTCCCAATAGAATTTAAGCAACAAACTTAATCCCATTGCTCCTGAGAATTGTATCACTGACTCCAGGAAAATCCTTCAGTTGTCAATACGTTAAATGTATCCAACATCGAGAAATTGATCAGCATAATCCAGGCATTTGCTTAATCATTGGGCAAGTGTGTATTGATGATAAACAAAGTGGCGGGCACAGTCCCACACTGAGAATAGAGCAGTGAACAAAACAGTCAAAAATCCACCCCTCAGGGTGATTGCATTCCAGCAGGGGAGATGGACAAACAAAATATGAGTGCTTTGTCAAAAAAAAAACAAGACAAAAGGAGGATTAAAAAGTGACCCTCAGCTGTAATAAAAGGGTCAG